AAATTTTTTAATATCTAAATAAATGCTTTGTTGTGCTTAAAATTGATGTTTCAGTAAAGATAAAAAGCAATAAATTCTTGTAAACATTTTTTAGCTGGAGTTTTAATCTAATACTATTATTGACAGTTGGTGGTCTACTAGTCTTTTTCGAATTATATTTACTCTTTAATGTGACAATATATTTTAACCAAGTTAATTATTTTTTTGTAGAAGTGTATAGAAACTTATAGGTAGAAACTAATGGTGCAGTTGCTTATACCAACAAAATTAATAATTATTTATATTTGTAATAATAATTATAAAACATAATAAAATTTTTTCACCTTCGACATTATTTGAAAAAAAAAACAGTGCCTTCTTTTCATGTTTTTATTACAGATAAAAGTATTAACAAATTTGCAATAAAAACAATAATAAATACAAATAAATTAGTGAATAAATAAATAAATATTGAGAAAACTATGGCCTCAGAGTACAAGTCGTTACTACAAATTTGATTTATTAAACGTAACAAAACCGTATCAAGTTTCTCGTTAGGTCTCATTATCTACCAACAGCGGTTCGGTTTTTTGCTTAGTCTTATTAAATCCTGCAGCTTGTAAAGCGGGAGTAGTTGTGGGTATCTTAACGGTAGTTGAAAATTCAGATTGTTCGCAATTTCTCCCCCACGTTCCTTCCCGACACAAACACTTATAATTGCCATCATCCTTCGTGAGCGAAATGCATTTTGCCCCATTTTTACACGTATCAGGATTAGTTTCACAATAATTCAATTCTAGAAATTACAATAAATAACGATCAATAAAACATGACTGTTTTAAACATTACCTTCATCGCAGAGCATTCCACCCCAACCCTTCATGCAATTACACTCCCAAGGTCTCGTGCAATTGCCATTCACACAGCCTGGGTAAGGATAACATTTCTCACAATTACTACCCCACCAACCCACTTTGCATCTGTAAATAATTGATTATAATGAATATCATTTTGAATAATTTCTTTTTACGATGACCTCACCGACATTCGCCGGGTTTTCTGCAGTAGCCTCGCTCCTTGTGACACGTTTTCGAACAAATTGCTGAAATTACAATATTGTTTTAAAGTTTTCATACAATAGGGTTTGCAGCTTACGGGTCTGACACAATATGCCGGTGTATCCTGGTAAACATTTGCATTCTAAAGGCTTGTCGCAGTAGCCGTGCTGACATCCTGGCAGGACTTGGCAGTCCTTGCAGTTTCGTCCCGCCCAACCTAAGCGACATCTGCATTCCCCAGGACTATCGCAGTAACCACGAGTTGAATGGCAGTCCAAACGACATATTGCTAAAAAACTCACATTTTAAAAGTAAAAGCGAAACATTTTCTCAAGAATCATATTTATGAACAGCCAGAAGCAAAAGAACTTCCGCTTCACCTATTTAGTTTTCTAATTTAAATAATTTAGCTCTGCAGTGAAGGGTCTTGAAACCAAACAATTACATTGTGATAATCTATAAAATAAATCAAATGTATTTTACACCACATCCTATCGTCTAAATATTGTATTAGCTTTTACGAGAATAAAGTTCCATTGCGTGTAAGCTTTGAAAGTCATTTTGCTGATTAAGATTTTAAGTCTTTAATTTAGGGGAGTGGCCAATCGAACCTTTTACACTTTACAATCAATATTTTACCAGGAGGAAATTAGTTCTGGCATGAATTATTATTCCCAGATTTTATAACATGAAGAGCGGCATATTTTCTTTACATTCTTAAGAAGTTTTCAAGTCCAAAGATGACATTTTTTGTTTCTCCAAATTTTAATCTGGTCAGAGCTTGTGTCAATCTAAATTAAAAAATTCCTGAAATAGATTGAAACACAAATATCTTCTGACAGACCGTTTTATATTGAAAACGATGAATGTATTTATTAGCGATGGGAGAGCTATCTCACGAAATTTAATTTGAGTTTAGTGTTCTAGGAAATGAATTATAGTGTAGACTTATCAAAACCAAATTTTAATTCAATACAAGATTAATAACTTCCTTCCTTTGTTTAAAAGTTTTGATCATTCTGAATTCCAAGAAAAGTTCGGTATTTGTTATCAGTAAAAATACGTGACCTGCAAATGTAGAGAAATAAAATTAATTCACGTAAAATAACTTTCCTAAGATTTTTCCTTCGAATTTATTATTAATCCAACCGGAAAATATGAGTTAAATTAAAAGTTATTAATTATTTTAAAATTGTAGAAGTAGAAATAAAAAAAATGATATTTACAACTTCTTTATTACTAGAATTATGAATGATAATATGTTTCCACCTTGTAAAAACTATTTTAATAAACTTTTTTGACTTAGGTTGGGTTTAATTTAATTCATTAATGGTCTATACAAACTTATGTTTATTATAATTTTAAATCGTTGAAAAAATGACTATGTTTCTACAAAACAAGAAAATTTATTAAAATACAATTGTGTATTGCTAAGTATGCGTGGAGTTATTGTGCGCGTTTTTCTATCTGACTATAGGTATATTATTACCATTTATTTTTATTGTGTATCATTTATTACATTGTAATGTATACTTTTACTAAACGAAAAATTACACAGCGCTTTTAAAGAAAAACATGGATAATTATAGAGTATAGAGCCAGAAGCTAGTTATTTATTTAAATTCTCCCTATCAAACGATATATAGGGTGGCCCAATAAAAACAAGCCACCTCGAATATCTCTAACTACATAAAAAGACTGCAAAAACGCGGAAACAAGTTAATTTTGTTACTGAGAGAGACATTTTTGTTGTTATATTTAAAGCACCCCCAGTAACTATGTAGACCCCACGCACCCCAACTTTAAAAATTTAAATAGCACTACCCCACTTGTGACACATTAAATGAAAGCTATCTAAACAAGTTTTTCAAAACTCTTTACGAAAATTGAATCAGACCATCCATTCATGAGATAAAAATAAATCACTCAATCAATCAATCAATAAAAATAAACCACTTTAATTTTGCTTTTTAGAAGGACATTTTTTTCCAAAATGAAATGATTTCTTTACATTCATAAAATATCTGCAAAAAATAATCTTTCAGCAGTCAGTATGTATAAAAGAACTTAAGAACTATTGCTATTTTTAGGTATATCATTTTTTCTTTATCACCCAATAAAGAAACAAAAAGTAGTTTGTCACAGTACCAATAATAATTATAGTAAGTTTCTTGTAATTTATTTTAATAGTTTTTATTAGAAGTAATTACTAATTTGAAACATTACTTTTTACGGATATCTTTAGAATAATTAATCCCATTCAACTTTAGAAAAAAGATTCAAAGAACATTTTAAGTGAGTCGGTGTTATTTGAGATTACGGAACTGAGGTGGGGGAAGTTAAAGGGTTAATGGGGGTGCTTTTAAAATTGCGTCAAAAAGTGTCTCTTTTAAAAACAAAATTAACCTGTTTTGAGGTTTTTTGATAGGGTGGTTTGTTTTTTTAGAACAACCCGTATCTCAGCAATGGATGGTCTAATTCAATTTTAGTAAAAAAGCTTGTTAAATTAGCTTTCATTTGATGTGCCACAAGTGGGGTAGTGCCATTTCAATTTTTAAAGTTGGGATGCGTGAAGATTCGGGGGTTACTGGAAGTGCTTTAAAAATTATATCAAAAAATGTCCCTTTCGGAAACAAAATTGATCTGTTTCGCCGTTTTTGCAAAGTGTTTTTAGTTTCTGAGATATTCGGAGCGGCTCGTTTTTATTGAGCCACCCTGTACAATGCTTCATCAGTCTTGATTGTGGTAATACTTACGTTCGGAACAAAATATCCCATCCCACCCCTCGTGGCAGATGCATTCAAAGCTCACGTTGCAGTAGCCGTGCTGACACCCCGGTAACGGTATACATTTATTGCACTTTTCACCAAAATACCCCAACTTGCACAAACATTCTCCTGGTCTATTACAGTATCCTTGTAGAGGGTCACATCCAGGGCGACATTTAGGCACGTCGCACAAATCCCCGGTCCATCCTGGCAAACATTTCACTTCTCCGTCGTCATCACACACGTAATGCGAATGCTCATTTTGCGAAGTGGGTAATTCGCAAGCCTTCATTCAAACAAATCAGAAAAATAACGGTAAAACCATCGATTTGAATACCTGTTTCTTCCATTTGGGCACGTAACGGGCGGACAAAACACACGGAACACAAAGTACGAAAATGACGAAAATGCTATTCATGGTGTTTTCATCAATCACTGATGGGTTTCCAGACGGTTCTGCGACGACCGTGAACTTGATAGTAATGGTAGTCGATGACCTCCTTAGTTTCCAGTTCCTCTTGTAACTGTTAAGTCATGACGTTCTCAAGAAGTGCACAACGAGGACGAGTACACGAGACATTGTTATAATACACACAGTAACGGCAATTTGCCGTTGGATCAGTTAGAAACTTACCTAAGGGTTTAGCTAAAAATAAAACGACTAACTGTTAACAAATTTATTTAAAACTCGAACTAAATCATCATAAACAAGAGTTCGGGCGTGTCTTCCGTAAACAAAATCAATGTGGTTGAACGCTTCGACGTCTCTCAAACCAAATCTTGCTTCCTCGGAAAGGTGATTCCATAAGTTCACAGCGTCCTAGAAGGTAAAAAGGGTGGTAACTGCCTGTTACTTTCCGACATAAGTATCCAGATTTTTAAATAACTGCTACATTTATCATTACTGACTGTCAGACCCTAAGAGTTAAATACCGTAACACCTATTAAATAATAACAATAACAATAGATCAGTTAGACATGCGTGTGCAGTTGTCAAGGATATGACTTTTCTTCGACTCGAAACGTGCAAGAAATTTTTACTGTTAACACCTTTAATTAAAATTACGAAAAGACTCTTGGAGGCTGCCTCTACGCGGAAGTACAATAAAGCAAAATAAAACTAATAAAAAAAAATAATAGTTATTTGTATTACAAGAGAGGAAAATATATTTTTCCTCCCTGAAAGTTACTGCGTGAGACTTGTCAAGGAGGACAGTGTAATACTCGTACATATAATTTTCTTACGATCCAGCAAGAAAAACTTCAGAAATAACAATTTTTCTTGATATCCCAGTTTCGCCATTAAATTTAACAGCATGTATTTTCGTTTCATTAGGGGAGGTAAAATTTTTACATATATTTTTGACAAATGAGGAAAAAAAATCTCCCATAGAGGTAATCGGCCACTTTCCTTTCTGAAATTAGGGTGGAAAAGCTTCTGTTAGGGTCGTAGAAAAAATACATACAGTAAAATTTTCATCGTTTTGCGGTCTCCTTTCTTAACAAAAAATGTTATTGTAAAATTTGAATTATATTTTAAAAAACTGATATTTTAAAAGAAGCAATTTTTATGTTTATCAAGAGAATAAGGTGTCTTATTTAAAAAAAGTTGTGAATAGTTTTTTCAAAATAATAGAGAACTTACGACATTGAGTTTAAAAAAAAGATTGTTATAAAATGTTCCTGGACTTACAGGTGCTGTCGTAGCCCAATCTGATGAGCTGTAGATGATATAAACAGGAACTTGAATTTTCTTAATATCATAAACCGGTGGTTCCTCTGTCCCATAGTACATCTCATTCCTATCAACGTAATTATATTTTCTAAAATTCCCCAAAACCAGATCAGCTGCATGGTTCAAAATTTTCAACGCTGTTCCCCCTGGAAGTTGGTTGAAATAAACCGGGATCATTTCCTGTAATTCCCCTTGTAGTTTAAGAAAATAATACAAAAGAACTTTGCTATTACTGGTCCAAAATCGGTGTGTGGCCCGTAGAACAAATTGTAAAGTTGTAAACAAAACTTCATCAAAGGTGGTGATTCCAAACACAGAGTATCAGTAAGTACCTTCAATGGTTGGGCTTGAGAAACAATCCGGAACATTTCCAATTCACCAACAATGTTCTACGGAAGAAGGTGCATTATGAAAATTAATTCCTGTTTGCGTCCAATTAGAGAAAATAATTACGTATGGAAATTATAACATACGTATGGCACGCACAGATTGTTTGAGTGAATGGAACTTTGCATTTAATTCAATGTTAGAAAAAATTTGCATAAGGTAAAGAGCATTCGTGAATTCTGCGATCGGAAATTGATTAAGGAACACGATCATGTAATTATTAATTAATCAGTAGTAATAAGAGATAAATTGTCGGCTCGTGAAGGTGAAGATTGATATCTAATCTTGTTTTACTTATGTAATACTTTAGAAAAATTGGCGTGTGCCGGGAACACCTGTTTAATAACAGGAAAACATGAAAAAACACAAAAAAGCGTAATTGGAGATAATTTTACTTAAATAATAATTTAACTGATCGGCTATTTCCTTAAATGGAGTTCTTGTGATTTTATTGTATGCAAATTAATTACCACATTTTCTTGACTAAACCAAAGCAAAGAGTTAAATTATTACAACCAGTTCAACTTATGTTTAATGAAAAAAATATGATTTAAATGAGAGTTAATATTACGTACTGCTAACTGTTTTGTTCATGTTGCAAGCAATATATGTATTTAATTTCAATAATTGACCGAAGAATAATTTAATAAAAATTATAGTTTGTATCTTAGACATTTTGTCAGTCTTCTACTTTTCTACTCAAAAAATAGAGAAAAAACTTAAACATGGGATCAGTTTTGAAACACTTTTTGTTACTTGTATTTACACAGTGTGTCCCTGAATAGGTAAAATGACTCTTGTAAAAGATAAAAAAAAATCGACTTAAATTTTTATTTCTTGGGAGTCAACCTTGCTTAGTTAAAGATTGATTTCTAACAGAATTTGGAAATTAAAAAAAAACTAGTTGCCTAAAATGCCAAACTTAATTCTTCAAAAATTAATCTTTAATTAAGCAGGCCTACACCCCAAAACATAAAAATTTAAATCAAGGGTTTTTTTATTTTTTACACGAGTCGTTTCACCTATTCGGGAATACACTTATGCGTTTATTTTTTGAAGTTTTTTACTTTTACCTGTGTCATTTAGTCATAAAAGTGGTCACTTTTGTGACGTTTGCAGATAAAAATAATTTATTTAGGTAATTATAAAGTACTTTGTCTTTTGATTTCAATTATGTTTTTTTCACAAAATTGCTAAATGCAAAAGTTTGAGATAAATGATAAATGTAAGTATTCTCTAGATTTGAGACAAATTCTCGCCCCGCTCTATTAAGATTGTTATTAGATTTATGTAAAATAACAAATTTAAACACAATTTTAGTCAAGAATGATGAAGCTTTTTTACTGTTCAACAATGTTAAGCAAATAGAGAAAAAATACTACAATGCTGATAACAGATTTTATTAATTTAGTATTTTTTTTATAAAAACTAATGAATCTTACCATCACTGTTTGCTTAAAGAAACGTCAATTTTTTATTTATGTATTTAATTTAATTATTAGTGCAAATTGTTGCCAGTAGTGAGTAAGAATAAAACTCCACTTACCATGATAGCGGCTCCAAAGGGGGCTGCCAGCCTATAAGGCGACTTCATATTTGCCAAAGTGTAAGCTGGCGAAATCAGCACTAACATTCTCAGTGTATCTCTCGCAACTTCTGGAAATTCCGCTGCATACATTAACGACAAAGTAGTTCCTAACGAATGCCCAATGTAAATAATTTTCCCATCAGGGTCTGTATTTGCTAAAATCGTGTTGAACATAGCTGGAAAATCATACGCCACGATTTCGTCCATACTAAAACCTTTTGGATAATCTGGATGAAATTTAAGTGTGTTGTAAGATTTAATACCTATGGTCCCAATAATCTTGCTGGTATACTGTTTTATTCACATGAGCTTCCGAATACTGCGTTCCTCTGTAATTCCCTAACCAGACATCGTATCCCGCATCGGCCAACACAAATGCTAAAATTAATTCGTGAATGGTGTTCGCAAGGGGTTAATATTGAATTACCCAGAGAGTCCTTCTTTAAGCCCACAAAGTAAGCACAAGTTGCTACTAGGCCATGTTGGAGATAAACCGGATATTTTAGGGCTTCGGGATTTTTGCTGGGAATCCGGAACATTGTTAGAATAAATCCATCGGCAGTGGGAACTCTGTACTCGATGACGGGATAACCGTTAAGGCGTATGACAGTGGGCTGAATTGAATTTCCGGCTTAAAAGGGCGGCAAATGCGACGAAAAAAATACTCACAACATCATATTCCGCTGTGAAATCATACCAACAATTCGAATTGTTTCTCATCGTGTAATAATCCTCAAAAGTCGGGCAGACATTGTTGTATTCACTTAAACCGTTTCGGATTAAACACCCTAGTAGCACTATCACTAAGAACATGTTGGATTAGTTTCATTGCACTTTACTGGTGAATTATTTTCTGAGGCATTTATAAGCTCGGATTGGACCTTGACATAATGAATATTTAACCAGGATAGGTAGGAAAACGAATTTAGAGAGAGCACTACACCCTTTACTTTACCGTTGCATGAATGCATTTCATTTAACACAATTAAATGACTAATAATCATTATTCTGGTAAATTTACCCAAAGATTTATATCATGGAAATAGCCTTGAAGTGACTTGCTATGATTGATTTGCATAACAAACACGAAGAAAGTACCTAGGACTTATAAGAAATGCTACAAATGTTTTTTTTTCTCCAAAATTTTTCCTTTTTAGAACACCTTTTACCAAATTGACGGAAACACATCTAAGCAATGTGCAATTAAATGTATGCAGAGTAATGTAATTTGAGAAATTAATAATTCTAATTATTGATATAATTTGCATAATTGGATTGAAATATACTGGCGTCATGTGGTATATGAAATCCATTTTGTAATGCGTTAACCGACTTACGATTTTTTATATGTATTTGGGTGTTTCGTGTTAGATTTGCAATAATAGTTAAATATATTGTCTTCTCCAATGTGGGTAGAACTCCGATAAAGACAGAAAAATGACCAGAACTGGTTTGCACTTTTGCAGTCTCCACCTGCAGTCTGGAAACGCGAAAAATGCGAATACCTAACTCTATGTTAGATAAGAGTTGACAATAACAAGATTATTTATAAAATTCATTTTTATTAAATTATAAAATGAAATGAATCAAAATGTTTCTTAGTAACACCATTTTCAGTGTAAAAGGCTATTTATTGCCTTTTAAAAATCTATTTTGATTTAACTGTAATGAAATAATAAAATAAACTTCTGTTAGTTGATTAATTTACAACTTTAATCTGCTGATTTCTATACACTGACTATATCCAACAATGCACGATTAGAAATAACAATTTTTAAGGGCGTGTCTTTACCGTACGAGATTTTTCTGCTTTGACTTTTAAATTTGTGATAGCAATTAGGCCAGAAAGTAATCGAATGATTTATTATGAAAATCTAAAGTAAAATAAGATTGCAAGATAAGTCATTTGCAACGTAAGATTTGTTAATTGCCAACAAAATAAATGTTTTTTGGCATTTGTTTTTTTAATTTTTGAGGTATGTTGAATCATGAAGTTTTTTAATATTTTATTTAGAAAATCAAAAGATTGCTTCATTGTTTGTTTGATAGTAATTTTCTTGTAACAAAGACCTTCTACTGAAAAGAAAAACTGAAATTCAAGTTGGAATGTCCTTCCATTTCACTGCATTGCCAATGCAACGGTTAGTCTTGATTAGAAATCAAAAAACAACGACCACAAAGCAGAAACAACAAAACCAATCTCAATTTCCTTGAAAGAGAAAGTTAGCGGAAAAAAATTGCAGCTTGAGTGAGCTATTCCAAATTACCTAGACCGAAATTGACCTTTGCAAGGTTAAGGTGAAGTTTGTTTTTATTTTTTAAATGAGACAAAATTTAATGAAATAATATTTGTTTATTTACATAAAAGTCTACAATAATAATAATATAACACAGTTCATCACCGAAGAGGTGTTTTATTTGGAAAATTCTCAATCACTTGGAGAATTTTATCATGTACCAAAGTCTTTGCTTCTTTTCCGAAGAGAAAATCAAAATGGTTAAACCTGAGATTCGATATTTCATAAATACCGAACCTGGAAGCCGGTGGTAATGATCGATATAAATTGATTGCATCCTGTAATTAGTTTTCATTTTTAAAGTCCCTCTAGTGTGAAAAACTTACAGGTTTTGAAGTTGCCCAATCATGCGAGGCATAAAAAATAAAAACTGGTACTTCCACTCTGGAAATATTATACGATGGTGGTGTGGAATTACCATACATAAACAAATTTCTCCCACCGTAATCGAATTTTCTAAACTGGCCTCTTACAGCCTCTGATAGATAAGTAAGAGTTTTTAACGAAGTACCACCAGGTAATTGATTGAAAAGTACAGGGACTGTCTCCTACCAAGCAAATAATTAACTGGGATCAAAAAAATGTCTTATTTACCGGAGAGATTTGTGTGAAGGGTCCTAGAAAGAGATTCACTAAACTCAGACATAAAAGCATCAACGACGGAGCTGCGAGACATGTAGGCCGCGTGAGTCTTCTTGCATATCCTCGAGAAAATATCTGCACAATGTTCAAGTTGTTGGAAAGGGACTGAAAAAGTGATTAATCTTTAATAATAATGCAATTAACGTAACCATTCATTTTCTTCTTTTAATACTCGATACGTGTAATTCCAGTGGCACGTGGCGAACTCGTAATTGTTTTATATGAAATATTTCGTAATTTCGAAAAATATGTGACTATGAAAAACAAATGATAAAAATCTGTGACAATTACCCGCCATCAGATCGAGATTAATTAACATTAAAAAAACATTAAAATTGTGATAAATTAGCGAAACGTGACATTTTTTCAAAATGTTCTAAGCGCAGTTTAAATAGTTTTATAGCAGCGCTTAAATATAATGAAGTTTTTTACAGTCATCACGATTTTACTTATTTATTCTTTGTTTAAAGGAGTTGAGGTATTTGAGACAATTTTTCGTAAAATGGAGTCAGAAGGGTGTTTCAGACAACCATAATTTTGAAAAACGAGTTTGCTAAACTTGTCGAACATGACGATTCGTATCTCAAAATTACATCTTTTAAATTTTATAAGAAAAGTAGAACTTTGGCCGCTCTAAATGTCACTTACACAACACTGGAAGATATCAATTCGGACGAAGATATTAAGGTAATTTATTGATTGATTGACAAAGTTTTGATGGTCGTTTGATAGATTACTGTTGCTGCTCTCCAATATAAAGGTACCGAGTATAAGAAAACAGTGATTGATTTTGCTATAGGGATTTGTACCATTTATAGGGCAAACAAATTTGATTCTTTGAACCTTATCAAAAATTCGAATCTTAAAGGATGTCCTTTCCCCAAGGTAAATATATTTTTTTGTGTTTTATGTTTCAATTGTGTTTTTAAGGGTAATTATTACATTAACGATATATCTCCGACTGCAGATATGCTTCCGCCCTTTTTTCCTGAAGGCAAATGGATGTTAGATATTGCTTTTACCCACAAGAGTCGAGCTGTAGTTCGTGTGCATTGGATGTTGTCAATAATGAAAAAAATTTAAACTTACCAGAGCTGTCCTCATTAAAGGGAAAAACACCCGATAAGGCGACCTCATATTATTTAGTTTGTATGCAGGAGCCATAAATATGAATAGTTTAACAGTTTCTTTGGCATGTTCTTGATATTCACAAGCATACATCATTGCAGCCGACGTTCCTAAAGAATGTCCAATATAAATAATTTTCCCTCTTTTCCACGTGTAATATCTGACTAAATTTAGCATAGTCGGAACGTCGATTAAGGCAATTTCGTCGACTCTGGAAGAACGGTTTCTTATTAGTCGTTTTACTTTCAACAAGGCTGTTTTCGTTGCGAGATTCAAGAAAGTGGATAATAATCAACAAAAATAAGTAAATGTTATATTGGCGAAAAATCTGAACCGGCCTGGTTAATTACGCACATGAACTCGATTACAACATTTTGTGCAATTTCAAATTTTTGAATGAAACAAATCGGTGGATGTATTAGAAACTGTTCGATTTATGCAATTGAGAGTATGCACATGGTGGAAAGGCGAGTCAGTGTCGCCTCAAAAATTGTCTTTTTATGCTTGAATGTAGAAAGTGAGGTTGCGGAAATTCAGCTACTGGAAATGCCGATCTAAAAATGAATTTTTACAATTCAGTCGAAAGTAGATTAGTTGCAATTTATGCGGCATACCGGAAGAACAATTGTTTCACGTATCGTTTCTAAATGAATAAACGATCGTAGGCCGTCCATTGTTACAGCGGGAAAAAAGCAAAGTTAATCACGCAAGAAAATTTTAACTCAAGAATTTCTTTATTGAATGTTTTGAACACAATACTACCTTTATTGGCCAATAATATTTGAGAAGTAGCCCCAGGGATTATAATTTAGTCTCCTTTCAAAAGATCAATAACTCCTGAAATTGAGTTAGTAGGCCGTATTGCAAGTGCATATTGAGTATTACCGAATTTTAAAATTTGTAACAAGTGGAGCGTGTGTCCCTAATTCAACTCTATTATTGTTAATTATTGTGGTTGCAAGTATTGTTTTTCGATATTTTGCACCTGTTCCACGCGATTGCAAAATTTTAAAGACTCGTGAATCCCATCTATTATTACAAACAATAATCAATAGTCATTAACTATTTAATTACGTTATCGTCATGACTGTTTATATATTTATCGAAAGGTGTCAAGGTTTCAATTGTTCACAATTTATTCAATCCAAAAGTTGGTTCTTCATTTTTCCCAATTAAAACTCCAACATGCAACTGCACTACGAAATTAGTTTATAATTTAACATAATTTAACTCTTGTAACACGTCGTGTTTCTAACGGCAATCGTTCCAGAATGCTCTGAGCACTTCCAGGTAATAAAACTATAAGTGTGTATTTTATTCAATTTGTAACGTGTGACGAGAAAATCGGTTAGTTTTTCCGCGATTATAAATTTTATGATGTTTGAAAGTTCATCAAGTTATGCCTGATTGAGCATTTTGATTTATGATTCTTTGTCGATTTGATACGATTTATTACCAATTAATTGTCTTCTTTAATCTTGAGAAAGTAGTAAGTATTAAAATTTCAAAATCATGTTAAAACTCTAAGTCTCCACCTAACTATTTTTTTTTTCAATTAATGGTGAAATTATTTGCAGTAAATTGACTTGACTTGTAAGTCGTATTTTATGCAACAACTTTCAATTGTGTTGAAAAAATAACTTTCGTTGTATTTTCCAACCACAATGTTTTCCGACAACTTGTAAAAACAACTCTTCAATTATGCATTCCTGCATTTGCAGTTAAATGTTAATTAAAAAATTACCATTCATTAATTTATTGATTTTGTGATTCTTATTGAAAATGATTGATACTGTAGACCTTGCTGGTCTGTTACATTAGCCACCTTGTTCGCCTGACCTTAATCTTGTGGATCTTTCCTACAAGAGTGGATAGTTATTTTCAAAGCCTTAGAGCATAAAATTTGATTTTTGCATGTTTCATATTTTAAAAACAAAGTTCAATAAAAATTGCTCTAATAAGTCTCAAATAAACACGGTAGTAAATGTAAAACAACTAATAGTACCTATGTAGAAAATCAAAAGTAAAATAAAAAGCAATCAACTAAATATGCTAATAAGCGACAGACAAAAAAATGTTTAATTAAGTAATTAAAAAGTACGAGTGTGTAATAATTATAAGATAACAAAAAATTTTGATGGTTATTTTAGAAATTTAAATACATACGACCAAAATTAGTTTAAAACATTTTTAAAGCTCAATTTAGAGAGTTAAAATGAAAAATACAGGGTGTGTCAGCCCCTGAGAAAAATTTCAAGTAAGATCAGGAACATGGAAAAAATGTTTTTCTATTTTGAATGTTCTATTTAAAATAAGTCTATTCCAACACCCAAATGACGTCATTTGAGTGACGGACTTTCTTCCCTATTCATTTTCAAATGTGAAAATAAGAACTATTTTTATTTTTCACAGCCGCCTAAAATTATTCTACATAAATGTCTGAATTTCAAATTTGTGCTTGCTTCTGCAACTTGTATTTAAAATAAAAGCCACAAATTACATTAAATAGAGTTACAATTTAGGATGCAACTTGTAGTAAATAGCCTGTAGGCAAAAAAACTTTAATATGAAAAACTCTTTATATGAATATATGTTTTTTTATTAAATTAGTCTGCGTAGAACATTAAAAAAAATAATTCTTAAAAAGCGGGTTATAAACGACAAACTGTTAATTTTAGTCTGCCTTGTTTCCTTTTCTGTAGCAAAAAAACTTGGAAATAAATACAGTCAATGTGCAAAATTTAAACTCTCATAACTTCGATTTTTTTTCCATGTTCCTGGTATCTTACTGTACATGGTATTTTTCTCTGGGGTGCAAATTCTAGCGCACTCTGTATAGGTAGATACCTACAATAATTTGCTACATGTAAAATTTTGTTATGGAGAAACCAGAAATACAAATACGCTTTTTATGTTGATATTTGCTTTTCCTATAACTGGCGCCCCTCTTCGAGTATAACTGATGTTTAATTGTTTTCCTTATTGTAATCAGTGAAATTAATTTTAGATTCTAACAATAATTCCCCGTTAATTGACCGAATAAGTCAGTAGTGAAGACAGACTTATAAACCATTAATCGTATTTTCTGCAAATTATTTGATCCAATTAATCGACATAATTATTAAATAGTCGCAATTAGTGAAGTAAAACGCCTTGATACACCTTTTTGAAAATTTTTTTGCATCAATTGGGGTTACAAAATTACAAAGCGATCGCGTTCTAATTAATTTAATTTCTTACAAATTGAGGCTATTTTCATAAAAAAATCCTCAAGTTTGTGATGAATTCAGTAAGTGACTGACATACCCGTAATTCCAGTACTCCCTTTGGGTTATATTCAAGTGCGTATGGCCTTCGGAGTATTCAGTGCCGCGATAATTGCCCAACCAAACATCATAACCTGCGTCTGCAAGGAGAAAGGCTGCAAGAAATAATTGCACTTGTTCATGAAACAATAAATAGTCGGATTAATTTACCAAGGGAATGTTTTCCCATGCCGACAAAAATGCCCGAAGTGCTCTGAATGCCATGCAACATGAAAACGGGAGCTTTTTGTTGCACGCTTGGTATCCTGAAGACCGAAAGGATGTAGCCGTCTTTAGTCTGGACTTTGTATTCAATGAAGGGATAACCAGATCTTCGTATAATTTCCGGCTGTTATGCAATGAAAAACTGGTAAGTAAATGTGGGTCAATGGTAATTAAATCGTAAAATGGTATCACTGGTTTGGTAGAAAGCATCTCGACTTACCACTTTGAGATCAGCGGCGAAGTTGTACCAGCAGTTGGAGTTGTTCTTCATGGTTATATAATCCCGATAACTCGGACACACGTTATTGTCTTGACATAACGATGCTTTTAACACACACGCTAGCAAAAGAAAGGTGAACAAGTTATGGCACAACATTTTTCCAGCAGGCTATCCGTTTAACTGCACTCGAAGTACTTCTGATTCTGTTGAGTTTATAAGATATTCACTTTCTTCGGTACGACGTACAGATAATTATTTCTTTTAATTTCACTAGTTCACTGAACTATTATTATGAATAAATACCTACGCGAATAACCCTTTCTACCAACTATGACTCGATTTGTTTTACTTCTTGTTGCTTTCTGCTACTACGTCACTGGCACAGAAAGAAAAAAAACGACAACATTGTTCCATTGCAGTGCATTCCACGACACCTCAAACATCACAAGCCATGAACCGCTTCAAGGTTTAGCCAATTTCGATCGTTTCGCAAAACTTGCTAAATAAAAAAAAATAGAGTGGAAACTTGGGAAGGGTAATAAACCAAAACATACATTTTTTATTGTGAAAAAAATTTATCATTTTACTGAGAGAAAAGCTATATCTATGTACAATATATTATATCACTATTTTTTACCTCTCAATAAACGTTTGCATATTTATTCCTTTTTGGGTAAGTTCTTTTTTAATCATAATTATTTACAAAACTTTAGTTATCCAACGTATAAAAACATAAATTATGGACTAGTTAAATGTGACTGTGGGGATACAGGTGACATAAGATTAGTTTTTACTAAAGAAAAAATCAGAGAAATTTATTTGAATATTGTAATAAAGATTTTAGTCTTATTAGTCATATCTAGAAAAGACAGGTCTGAATCAATTACCTCTTACATAAACTGATGTCTAAGAGTTTCATCATAATTACTTTATGTAAATTATTAAAGAAACTAGTATGATATCGAGATCAAAAACTGATTTATTACATAATAAGTTCAGAGATGCATCATTTGTGTACACATTGCCTCATCACATTTCATTAATACTTAATACCATTTAATTATGCAATTTGAAACTGCCCAAATCCTGGAAATTATTAAATTTCCTGTTACAATTAACAAGTTTGAAACGATTGGAAAAGACCAAAGAACCAAACATTGGGAAACACGAGGAAATAAATTTGTATCTGGCTACAGAAACACGACACTGTTATATAATTTATTTTATATTCATATCTTTTTAAGCAATAAAATGGAGATTTCTGTCGAATGCGACTAATAAATGACGTGTTTAAATATAAAAGCGAATTTTTGATTCGTCCATGTTTTTTGAATAAAACATAAATATTAAATGTTCTACAAAGAAAAATTTGCAATCTCCTTTCTAATGCTTGTCGTATTTCTCGAAAAGTTTGGGTTTAATGTCATCCTCGATAAAAGATTTTTTAATTACTGTTAAAATAATAAGGTATAATTTACCTACCCTTCCATACATAAAAATTTTTAGTTGTTAGTTTAATTAGTTGATAGCAACTTCTACCCATACTATGGTCCAATGTTGACAAAAATAAACTCGTAATAATTTTACAGAAAGAAAAAAACCCTGTGGTATAATTTCTTTAACCTTCATATCGATTGTAATGTATTAATTATGTATTTATTTAGTACCTAGAAATTACTGTTATATTATAGAAATTCAAAGCTGTACTGTTGGTCACATAATGTTTACATTTTGTTATATTTCCCTCCCCCCCATTCAGCAGTCTTATTATTCATGTATTCTTGTAAAAGCACATTTCGAAAGAAGCTTATGCAGCTTAAAAAAAGGATCTTAATCAAAACTAAATATTTCCTAATAAAAGAGCACCAATTTTGTTTATCCTAACCATATGATCATATTAACTTAGCTGATAAAATAAAATATAAATATTTTTTTATAGCAAGAACCTCTACGTATTTAGTTGTAAAAATTTAAAAGACTTACGGTTTTAAAAAGACGACAATTTTTTCATAAATTTTTGTCTATACTTTAGAAGAAACTTTAAACAAAGTCACAAAGTTAACACTAGTCAACTCAATTGTTTTATCTACACTACATTATTGTGATATTATTTATGGTTATTACAACAAGCACAAATTACTAAAAATGCATAATTGCTGTTTAAGATTCGTAATTATCATCATGCAATTCCATATTTAAGATACACTAACATTGCTTAGGTAAACTAAATGACCAGTGATTTCTTAAGTTGTTTCGAAAACAAAATCCTTTAAAAGATTCATCAAAATTAGTGATTTGAATTATCAATCAAATTACTACTAGAACTTTTCTAAAATTTTAATATACAGAGTGTTTCACGTAATTTTACGAGGCCTGTGCATACATATTCCGATACGAACTCGATTACAAATTTTGAAAAATTGGATAATCTTCTCTAGTTTGTTCATCCTTTTAAAAATCACAACATTTTTAGTTAGTGATTAAGATAGATAAAATAGAATCATATTCATGCCGTCTCTTGATAGAACAAATGATAACTGTTTCTGAAAACTGCAGTTTATGACTATTAGTGAAACAGTGATTAGTTTGACAACTACTGTCATGGGTTTCCAAAAATTAAATAATTAAATGTGTATTTTTTGTTTCTACTGATTTGTGAATTTTGTACCTTTGGGTGCGTACATTAAGCACAAGCCTCGTAAAGTTGTGTAAAACACTCCGTATTTCTGGCATGAACGAGCAAAGAACTTTATTTAAATTCCGTCAGACGTAGTGGATCCCAACGGTAAACACGAATTTTATTTGATTGCAACGAAATGTTTACCTCCACAGTGAGTTAGAGTGAAACGAATGGACTTTAGAAGTTACAGCAAAAATAAAACCTTCTCAATTTATTCATTTATAGGTGAAGGCGAAAAATAACAAGTGCAAATGAATGCATTTTTTATTTACTATACGTAAACTATTTCAATAAAAACAGGATAATTTACTGTTTTTTATTTAAGTTTGGTGTAATTAAGTTTTCTCTCTTTTCTAAAGAATATTAATCTCGCCATTTATGTGTAGATCAAAAAAATCAAAAATGTTTTAACAAACAGAAAATATAAAAAAAAAGATTTTATTCATCTTATTTGGGATTTATTATTTGTAATCCACTTACAACTTTTAAGAAAGTTCAGATCAGGATACAGAACAACTCTTTCAGAAAATTTCCAAAATTTATTAGAAATCGCATTTTATTTACAAAAATAAATCATAATTTACATTTGTACTTAATCTATAATCGGGCCAAATCACCAGAGATGCTTCGAAACGAGGACAGGTTTAGCTACACCAACGGGAACAGCATAGGGCTGCGGGACCGGAACTCCAACATGTTTGACAACAGGCACATGGACAGGTTGTGGAACAGGAACGGCTACAGGACGATCAACAGGAACAGCAACGGTTCTCTCCACAGTGACTGGATAGGGCCTAGGTACCGGCACTGGTACAGGACGATCCACTGGAACTCCTACAGGGACTCCCACTGGCACAGGGACTGGTCTGTCCACTGGTACGGGATGGGGCACCGCGACTGGAACTCCCAGATTCCTAGTAATGGTTGTATGAGTATGGGTGTGAGTTCCTAGATGGATAGCGGGGGCGGCTACAGCAACGGGCCCTCCAAGACCAACGCCTCCAAGACCAACATCGCCAAGGCCAATTCCGTTTAAGCCTAAACCACCATCCAGTCCATCGTGGATGCCCAACCCTAACACACCTCGTTTTCCCACAGTCTTTTCTTTAACCGGAACTGCTTTTTCCGCCCAGGTTGCCCCAATGACAAGGCATAAACAGACCTGAAAAAGCGTGCTGTAAAACGTGCTTTCAAGGACGTATTAAAATTCAGAATTTGTACTAAAAAAATTAGAATTGGAGGTACGATGTGTGAATTTGGAGAATCACTGAATGGGTGAAAGCGATTTGTTTGCATAGTAAAACACCTTGCACTAGAAATTGCGTAAATGTGAGAATAGTTTAGTGTCTTATAAGGATTTAAAAACTTAGTGGGCCAAATAACGAGGTCGATTAAGATGGAATACGAGAATTTCCTTACTCTGTAAAAGGATATCAGTTTTCTAGCAATGCGACATTTGTTAAAATTAATTGGATCTCGAGAATTTTTACGCAGTTAGGTAATGCCAGATTTTTCTTTAGTTTCTTAATTCACACTAATTAAATAAGAGGTAAATAGCTGTAATAAAAATAATTTAGTGAATCTGATTTGCCACATCATTTTTTCCAAATTTCCCTTATTATTTTTTTTAATAATTTTTTTAAATTACATACCAAAGCTCTCATGGTGTTGAAACACAGTAAGAATAGAATAACAACAGGGTGTGATAACTAACTGGAATGTTCTTGTTTGCCGATATATAGTAATCCATAACAAACCCCCACTAGATCAGTCTTGCAATAAACGGATTGTCCTGTTCAGGGATATCTGATAATATACTTTCTCTGTACTATCATACTAGTTCCAGTGGCAACTTCATCATTGTTTTGCAATAAGCTGCGTTTTCCATGTTAATATTGCTTCCGCTATAAAGTCGATCAAACGGTTTTTTGTCCATTTTAAGTCAAATCTTATGTGAGAAAATTTCAAATAATCATCACTGTTTTCTATATCAATCAATACCATTAAAAGCCCATGTATTATAGAAAACCACGTGCAGAGACTTAAATTATAGATGAGATTGAAATTGCACCGGTGATATGATGCTTCATGCTGTAATTTTACACAATTATTGTGACTCATTATTTTATATTATGTAGGCTGACAAGTGGAAGACTTAATAACCAGAATAATTTCAAAGTCGCTTATACATATAAATAAATCAAATCTTTTCAGAGTTTTCAGTGGTATTCTGTATTCCTCTCAAGAATTGTTAAAATTGCTTGTGCGAAAGCAGCTTTTCTTCTCTATTCAAATAATTAATTAATTGTCTAAGACCACCACACTTTTTGTTTTGGAAAAACTAGTACCTGTCTCCCAAATCTTTCAAGATATCTAAGATAACCATTTTTTTAAATTTGTTTTGGGCTCCGAGATTTTACGTGTAAAAATTCAAAGTCAGTTTTCTTGAAGCAAAACTATGTCTCTTATGTTTCGAAATTAAAGTGCCAACGGCATTTCGTATGCTTTTAAATATTTGATATTTTCCTTGTTTCCTAATCAATTAATGAGAGAATTTTATTAATTGGTTAATAAGGGTTTATTTCTCCATCACATAAATTGTGTTCTTTCAGTTGTTGAATTATACATAAATCAATTAATATTGTCTTAATCTGAGACTAAATCTATTTAAGGAAAGAAACGATAACGGGTGCACAATCAAACATAGAAATTTTCGTGTTTAAAGCGCATTATTTATTTAGTTTGACAAGAAAAAAGATCAGGTCTGAAAGAAAGTTGTTCCGAAAATTCTTCAGATTGTTAAAAATCGCTTGCAAATTGCTGTTTAACCACGCACTGTATAAATCACTCCGAGCCACCTCGATTCCGGATTTTTTTGTGAGTGATTTACGACAGAAAAAGTCATGTGTTCTAGATCATGTCAAAGATAAATTAACAACAGAAATTAAACCTGCACTTGATGCACTACACTTTACGAACTATTCCCTCAGGTGCTGCAAATCTGTCTCATATTAGCAAAGTTTTATGGCAATGTCTGAATTTCATCCAGAGATGAATTCATGGCAGAAAGGCGCCAGAATGCATTTCACAACTTGCACACGGACTAAAAATATTTGTTTCTTAATACTAATTAATTAATGTCTATGTCAAAGCACGAAAAAACATAAACGTAACCTTGCATCATTTTTCACGTTTGCTTATGTAATAAATGCGTGTCGCTTATGTAAAAATGAAACAAGTTCACTTGCATCTAACTAAAATTGTGTGTGAAAGTGTTATTGTTGAATTTATTAAGCAGTAGATATATTATCATATTTTTATAACCACCTGAAGGATTTAATGGACACGAACGATTAAAAACTCCTATTACAGAAAAGCATCTGATTTCATGCAAGTCTTGTTTTCGTGTTTTACGTAATGTACTCGATATGTGACTAAAACGTAACAATATCCAGTAGCGAGTATTACTTTCATCTGTAATTTTCATACAACACTCACTTTACGATTAATTAAAAGTTCACTCAAGTCATGACCATAGTTTTATCGGATTTATCTACAACCTACATATAAATCGTGAGGCCACTGTCGCAAGAAGAGGGTGTTTCGCCCTTTTTTCATTATACTAATTAATTTATTACAACTGGAGATGGAAATTCCATTTCCTGATTGATTTAATGTCAAGGTTGAAAATTATTGTTTTCCTGAAAACTGTTTCCAGTGTGCTCTGAAAAGCAGTTACTTGCATTGCATACAAATAAATAATTACGGATTTTTTACGACATTTATTCATTTAAAATTCTTCTTGTGTACCGCGCTTTCATTCCACCTACAATCAATAATCCTGACTATTCATTGTTAATAATTAAAAATAAAATGAGGTAATAAATGGTCAATTTAATTCCAGTTGACTACATTGAATCCTGAAAATCCCAAACAGGACGTATTTATACGATTCGGTGTTGAGTGGTGACAGTGAACGTGAACAGTTACCAATCACGTAGCCATGAATTAATCATATTTGTATTTAATTGAAGTGTAATTATTTAAGAATGCCTGGTTTCTGCAATATTCAGTTAGATATAAAAATAAATATGTACCGATATATTGCAAATTGCAGTCATTTCATTCGTTCGTAGTAGCATGTTTACCTACTTCTTATCAATTTACATAACTGTACCAAGTACGAGTATAATAATTATTTTGTGCGCACTTGAATCACTTTCAATCACAAGTTCACTGTGAATGCTTTTTTCGAAAAATGTTCGTGTTTATTGGAGCGCAAACCCAATATTTTTTTCACCGATTGGAGTTAAAGCTAGGCAACCCATAATTCGCATATTTTTTTAGCTTAATCGACGACTTATATGTGCTCCAAACGCCGTACATTACATCACTTGCTCCACATCTTCTACGACTATTTACATAAATGGTATGTTGAGTCGTAAATACCTGGTCGAAATGGCTTTCTGAATGTAATAAATTATCGCAAGTAAATCACTAACGAGATTAAGCAAGTCACACATGACTGAGCTTTGACAAAGCTTCACTTAAAAATTGCTTAAAAAGAATAACCTTTAACATTTCTGCAATTTTTACATAAGCAGAACACGATTGACAAAATTTTTGAATTGCAAATTTTGCAATTTTTCATTTCACATTAATAAAAAGGTGCATGTCCGGTAGGTGTTAAAATAATTACCGGTAATAATTTCTTTGACATTTTACTGAGTTGCAGAACACCCACATTAAGAAAATCCTTGGCAAAATCTGTAATTGTTTCAATTGTGGAAAAATTGCTCGTTTTAGAGAATTCAGTTTCACAATCGCAGGGCCCACTCCTAGCACATCTTGTCATCGTTTATATAATCTAATAGTTTACATTTTAAAAATTAAATCATCCATTTAAATTATCATAATTAATTTTAAGAGAAAAGTTATCAAAATCTTGTCCGCTTTATAATGAGAAACGTAAATGTCAAATCGGGTCTTTGATTTAGATACTCGAATTTGCAATTAAATGGTAATAATGTTACTTATCAGTGATGCTTGTATTTTTATTGGTAGAAAGTCTAAATGTTTCAATCCAGTTACGTCTATTAATTTATGACTCTTCGTATCGACATTGTGAAACTGGTTTTGTTTTCGTGTGGACCCTTAAATTTAGACAATAAGATATGTGCGAGTTGTTTTTATGCCGACTTGAATATATTGCGAGACACTTTTCGTAATTAATTATTCAAAATGACAGAGAAAGGTGAAGACGTTTAAAAAGAATAAAAGTGACCCGAAATTATGATACTGTAAATTATGGTTAACCTTCCGGTTACGCATATGTATCAGTGAAAGTTAAAATCCTAAGATACATCTCATAATCTAAAGTCCCTGCCTCACACAAAGGGGGGCAAACCTCCACATCTGTATAAAAGTCAAAAATCGGTAAACCTTCGGCACATTCACTTGAGACACGAGATAACAATGAGGGCATTCCAAGTAAGACATTTATTAAGTGTGTCACCCCTTTACCTTTTTATTTCCAGATTTGTACCCTGGTACTCACCGTTCTCGGTACCATCTCTTGTGGAGATGTTAAAAAAGATAAAAGAGGCGTTTTGGGATTAGGGTACGGAGGATTGGGACATGGGTCCGGGATCGGATACGGCGCCGGATTAGGCCATATTGGGTCCGGGGGCTTAGCCTTATCCGGAGGACATGGGTCCGGGATCGGATATGGCTCCGGGATTGGGTATGGCGCCGGACTAGGCCATATTGGGTCCGGGGGCTTAGCCTTATCCGGAGGATACGGTTATGGAGGTCTTGGAGGCCTTAGCAGTGGTTCCATTGCTCTTGGTGGTCTTAGCGGCGGTTCTATTGGTCTCGGTGGTTTAGGCGGCGGTGGCTTAGGCGTCATCGGAGGCGGCACCAACACCGTCACCACGATCAATCGAGCTGTACCCATTCCGGTACCACAACCCGTTCCCGTAACAGTCAACCGTCCCGTTCCCGTCCCAGTACCACAACCATTTGCCGTTCCGGTACCACGACCCGTCCCTGTCGCAGTTCCCAGGCCAGTACCAGTGACGGTTACCCGCACCTATCCCGTCGAAGTTCCTCGTCCCGTTCCAGTACCTCAACATGTGCCAGTACCAGTTTCGGTACCACATCCGGTGCCAGTTGCCGTTCCACAACCTGTCCCAGTGACTATTCCTCAACCTGTTCCAGTTCGGATACCAACTCCTGTAGCCGTTCCAGTTGCCCAACCCGTCGCAGTCAGCTCCGGAATCGGACTTGGTTCTAGTTTAGGATATGGGTCTGGAATCGGGCTTGGGTCCGGAATTGGACTTGGGTCCGGATACGGACTCGGAGGCGGTTATGCTAGTTCCATAGGATACGGTTCCGGATTGGGACATGGAGTTGGGTTGGGCTCTGGAGCTATCTTGAGTGGAGGGCACGGAATTGCTCTCGGAAAAGGATGGTAAAACGTCTGTGAATATTCATCTAAGTCTCATGTGAAATAATTTAGTGTAAATACGTTATACGTAAATATATATTTTTACAAAAAATCGTAGTTTCTTTTAAACCAAAAGTTACCACACATAGTTTTGAGTTGCCCTATTAGGATAACTTTTCTTGGGGTAGTTTTTTTTGTTTGTGAATATATTTTTACTACGTATCCTGAGGCAAAATTATCTATATAGGTAGGTATTTTATAAGGTCACAACGACTTATTGAAAATGCGTAAAGATGCTCAATTTGGCGGTGTTTTAGATAAGATAGGAGTCAATTTGCGTCAATGAGATTAAATTTTGAAAAGAGTTCTAATCGGCAATATTTATTTGGTAATGTAAGATCTTAACAATATGTTGTTTAAGATTTTCAAAGTTGATGAATCGTCGAAAAGTAGTGCCTTTAGGGTATCTATATTTAATTTGGTATGACAAGTTCAAATATTAGCGATAATAAAAAACTACATTTTTTTTACAATAGGGGTTAACAGTGTTATTAACAGCAACATTAATCGGTTTTGCTATTAGCGTTTTCTATTATTATGGTGGAATCGAAGCAACACGTAAGTATTTTTCTTAATTATTATAAAAAATTAGAATTTTTTTTTTAGATGTGAGCAGATTAATTTTTGTTGAAGTCGCATTAAATTGCTTATTTTTTCCATTTGGCATTTTACTAATAATCGGAGTAAAAAAAGTATGTCTTAAGTCACATTTATAATTTTTTTAAAATTATAATTACAGGACAAATACAAATGGATTAGTATTTGGATCAAGGCTAAAGTAGTTCAAGCTTCTTACATCTTTTTACTAAATTTTGTTATGCAATTGTATATTACTGTATCGCTAAATGTTGGTGATGGTTTAATTGTATTGGTTTATACTCTAGTAATTGAAGGTAATTTTGACATGAAGGTAATTAATAAAATACAACTGATTCGATTTAATATTTCAGCATTTTACATGGAAAACATTGTTTATATGAATAACTATCAACGGAATAGACAACCCAAAGATGAGGATATTCCAGTTCCTAATCAAGTCGTTAAAGAATTTGTGATCAAAGTTTAAAATATTGCAAATATGAAGAATGCCAATATAAGAAGACTACTAATTGTTATTTAAAAAAATGAGTAAATTGCAAGATTTTATAAGGTGATTGGTTTCGATAATTTTAATGTATTGTAGCAATTTTATGAAAGTAATCTCATTTTTTATATTAAATCTTATTATATTTTTCACTTCTACATTTAATATTTTCCCTTTACCTCATTTTTTTAACACTGAAATTAAGACGAACTCATCATGCTATTCGAGTATGTCGGTACTTACAACATTTATCAAGCGTACGGGAAAGCTAAAAATATAAATTTGCAGAATTCTTATCTCGATCAATGTACAAGGTGAATTTGCAAATAATGTAATGATTCACAAAAAGTAATTAAGATAAATAAAACAGTATTTTTGTTAAATAATGAATTAAGTAGTCAAAAAATTTAAATTTAATAATATTTAATAAATAGTTAAAAACGCATATTATTTTCAATAATTAACAGTTTGTTGTGTTTGAATTTTCTTTTTTTTTGTGATTGCAGATAATGTACTTAAAATATCATATCTACTGATACCCAGTTTTGGGTGGTTTCCAAGTCAAGAGTTTACCAATAATAATAAATTGAAAAATTATTTTGTTAAAATGAAAACGCTTTAAGTCCTTGACGGTTATCTTATTTTGGTTATTGTGATAGATTACAATTTTTTTATCTAAAATTAATATTGTGTAGACATTTTTTTGTAAGAACAGTTTTGTACAACTACAATGACTGAATTAATCCTTAGTATCTTAATCTTTAGTAATGCATCATTATTCACAACAATGTACATATTATTAAAAAGACTTCTGAAACCGTACAAATTTATATATAGCAACTAAATCAAACGATCGACTTAAACTAACATACATATCATCCATATCTTATCTTTATCAGGATTGAACAATAAGAGATAATCTTTATCATCAATCTTGATTAAATAAGTCACATAATGCGTCACTACGTAAAATTCTGTAAGAAATTGCAATTAGGTACATATTTCCATAAAAACTGAGTATTTGACACAACATGTTGTTGTGGTACTCATCATTCTTCAAACATGTAACTTCATGGTGTTATGGAACAGCCGTTGTTCAATTCGTAAGTGTAATCTTTATTTAAAAATAAAAACCCATTTTTAGAAATAGGTTGCCTTTTTATTTATATTCCTGGGGGTATCTTATTTGTCCACTTTGCTAGAAATTGACTACAGTGATGACGAAACAACGGAAATTATTTCAAAATGTAAGCACAAAATTAGAAAAGTATCGATAGAATAAAAATTTTCCTTGTTTTAGATGAAAAATACGTCGTTTTGGCGTCATCACTTTACATGATTGTTCCTTTCACGTTTTCTACTGTGTTCCTTTTTGGACTGTTCAATGTGAGTAATAAAGTGGAATATTAAATTTATTTAAAGCCGTTATTGATTTTAGAAAAATCCTGTTATCTTGAAAATATTTATGATTGAAAGTTTGATTACCTGCTTTGTTATCTTAATCGTTGTTATTGGATCGGGAATATTTCTAGCTGTAAAAGGAACACAATATGTTGCTTACAGTTTAATAGTTGTTGGAATTATACTTGAATGTGAGTGTAAATTATGTATTAATAATCATCAATAAGTTTTTTTTAGTATTTTTGGCTCATGGTATTTTCTTAGCTTATGGGGCAAGAGATTTTTATTTACAAAACTGTGATAACAGGAGTAGTGTAAATTCAAAGAGCAACCAAGAAGATCCAAATGTTTGTGATAATTAATACATTATGGTTTATATTTAATTTTTAACATAAATAAGAAATTGAGACTGAAATTTTTTGTAGTTTATAAGAATTAAAAGTGTCTGCTAACTAGGAAAACTTTTTTATTTTTGAATTTCTAGCATCCAAGGCAACATAGTTGCCAACCATAAAAATAAAAAAAATTGTAAGTGTCAAAATGGATGTAATTCTTAGAAAAAAATAATACTAATAATTAGCATAATAGCGATTTTTTTATTTGTCATGAAAGCACCATCTCTAGAAATCGCTGTTATCTAACCGTTTTTGGAATTTCTTTTAAATGTTCCTGGTTTACCAGGAAAGAAAAAAAAAAGCAATGGCCGAAACAATCATAAAAATTCAAAACAATTAGATTTATTGAATAAAAAAGTGTGCAAAATATTATTTATGTCAGATTATTTCTGACTTCTGAAACCTGTCATGAAACCAAGATAACATTTGTCAAAATCAAAAATTGTTCTTTCATTTATGCCAAATTATAATGTTCTTATTTAAGCACACAACTGAGAACTGTTGTAAAGTTGCAGCTTTGCAATTTGTAAGTTTTTGATTGTTTTAATTAGATTTAATTTTTTTTAATAGGTTGTGTTTCTAATTGTTTTCCTAGTACCGTCTTACTTGTCATTATTCATTGAAATAAAGAAGAACATTAGCGGAACAATGAAAGTAAACTTCCAGTGTAAGAATAATTATTAAAGAATTGCTAGTTTAGTATAATGGTTAAAATTTTCTAGTTGAAAAATATGCCTTAATGGCGTTATCACTTTATATGATAATACCTTTGACGTTTTCGCTTATATTTTTTATTGGAGTGTTACATGTAAGTATTAAAGAATTCTAAATGATTAATTCGATATTTATTTTCAGAAAAATGCTTTTTATATATTAACTTACATAATTGAATGTTGTTTTACTAGTATTGTCGTATTCTTTATGACTGCAGTAGGGCTGTATATAATAGCAAACAAACTAACTTGCTCTACTGGCTACAGCTTGTTTGTGATTGGAATTTTTCTTCAATGTAAGTTTTGGACTATGTGGAAAATTCGTAAAACGCATCTGTTTTAGTAATTGTGACTCATGGAATAATTGTAGCCTCTAAAGAAAGAAAACAATTGAGAAAAATCAATGATAATCTTAATCACTAATTGTGTAAATTATATGTCTTTATTGCAACTACTTTAGTGAAATAAGTTGATTACTTTAAAGTAATTTGTCAAATAAATCTAAAACTAGTGTCAATACATAATACTGTGATTAATAAAACATTTAAAAGTTTAAACTCTTGAGGTGTTTGTAGAAACTGTGCACTGCAATAATGTTGTAAAGAGCAATCACTGAAAACAAAAATAATAACATTGAGACAAAAACAAAATTAATAACTTACCCGACACAATAGCTCCAATAATTAGGTGGCCAATAATGAAAAATGTAGCGTTATGTCCCGAATGATGAATAATAGCAACAAGAATTGAGATTATGTACACAACTATTGCAACAGGATTGAATATCAGCCAAGGTACCAATAATACTGGTCGGTTCTGGAAAAAGGTATTTTTTTCAGATGCAATTAATAATGCAATTGCAATGCAATTAATAATTAATTACTATACTTACTGTCTCAGCTCCAAAAATGATTAAAATTGAAAGAATGCACTGTACAGCACTTGCAACAGCAATGATAATTAAAAGACAGCGTAAAACTAAAAAAAAAATTCTAGAGAGAGAGTCGTTGGCAGAAAAAATCTCACCGCTTATATCCGGTACAATTCCGGGATCAGATATCTCCAGTAATTCGTGTGGATGTTCGGCGTAGGCTGCTGATAAAATCAAGAACATGAAGGAAATAATACTTTGAACAACGCCAATAATAATGGTTCCATGTTTCAGGCTGAAACCACAACAGTTGGAAATTTCAGGAGCCATTTTCTGGAAGGAAAACCCAAGGTTTTACCAAAAGAGAAATTTTACGGTTCGCAGCCATATTGCGGATATGTAGATTTAATATTTTGCAATAATACAAACAAACGTGTTTGTAATTATGAATCAGTAAATATGAATAAACATACTCACGTACAAAAACACAATATCACAGTTTTTTAATCACAAAGTTATTGCAAACGTGGAAGGAAAATATCCGCGAGGTTTTTAGTCGCACTACTGGCAAATACTGTTATTTTGCATCAAGAACCATTGTGTGAAAGTTTGTTACCTGCGGACGTATGTTGAGGATTGACTCGGGTTACGGATGATGACGAAGACCTTGGAAAGTTGTTCCAAACAATAATCAAGTAATAAATATTTTGGTTTGGAAAATGATAATTGATAAGTCTAATGACCGTAGCCGACAACAATGTTGTGCAAAAATGTTGCGTCTTTGCCGAAATATTGATTTTATGTTAAATATGAGTTTAAACTATTTTTAGGAAGCCTTGAGTTAAGTTTAAACTTTCTTTTAAATCGTATTTTAAAATCGATAAATCACATCCATAATTTTATTATTTCGAATCGAGTTCAAGTATATCCAGTTGACGTATTTAAAGAGTATGATATGAGAATGAACCAGTTTTGTTTAATCCATTGATCAAGAAAGTGACCACTATGAATTTAAAAGTGTGTATACTTATATTTATATTAATTCTTTTTCATCAGTTATGTTTTTAGGTTTTTCTTTATTTTATTTTTTTCGTGCTAATGGTCGGTGGAACTCAATCAATTTTAAGAAGTAGACGCGGATTGCATTTACATTTTGGCTCCTCTAAACACCATGTTGTCCACCACGTTCATAGTACTCCTGTTGTACACACCTATCATGATCCTGTACCAGTTATACACACCACTTACCATCATGTAGCACCAGTCGCTGTACATCACCACTACTTAATTTAAATTTATTTATTATTTATTTATTTCAACTGCTATAGTATGCTATAATAAAGTTTTAAAGCAACAAATGTGTATATTGTTTGCCTCATTAATCATTTAAAATATACAACATGTCTGAGAAATAAGTACATTACTTTTAATCACGTACAGAACTTGTTAAATGCAACATTTTTTTATGAACCATCTTTCAAAAACGCAATAGTTATTAAATTAAAATTGCAAATCGTTTTCCTGTAAAAGATCGTACCCGCGTATGGTGGGTGGCGTCGCACACATACATATAAAACTATTATATACTACCCCAAAAAATCAAAGGAACAAAAAAATTTCCTAAATTCTTTGGTGATTTTTGAAAGGCTGTAACTCATCAAAAAATGGTCGTATCTAGATTTAAAACAAAACATTTTGAAGTTTTAAGTTTCTAGTTTTGGGATCTTTTGGCAAATATTTTTTCTGTGCTACGGTTATCAAGCAATTCTAGGTAATAGCGCGAGAAAGAAAATCTAAATCTAAATTTTTATGTTTTTGTTTTTGGTCCAGACGTGGGGATTTTTTTTAAGTTAAGTCAATGCATAGGCCGGATAGCATGTTTGTTTACCTTTAATACGCTTTTTTCATATTCTCTTTACGTCAATTTGTCGCTGAGATATCTGACTTTAAGTGAAAAAGGATCCTTTTGTCTTTGATCATCGATATCTCAGTAACCAATGACCACACAGAGAATATAAGGGTAGTGTCAAAAACTGGAATAAATGTCTTATAATAGAGTAAGAGCCTGCGGTCGCCATTTTATAAAAGCTGAAAATTTGTCAGCACACACTACCAACACAGGTAGAAACGATGGGCAAGTATGAAGTTTGGGTCGTCATGGCTTTGGGAGATACAGGTAACAAAGAAGAAAAATACCAACTTAAATTTATTAAATAAAAAAGCGTAATTGTTTTATAGTTTCTTCGGAGATATATTACAACCCTTTGTCAGACACCCTTAAACTTTAATAAATTTTGACTGTACTTACGTTACTATAAAAGCTGAATTTTATACATGTTACTTGGACAACTATTAGAAGATGTTTTCTGTCAGTAACCAGACAGTTTCAACAGTTCTACCCTCGGCCAGACAAACATATAGGCCTCCCATGATGATTCTGGGTCAAAACTGAATCACATTTATTTTACTTAAAACTTAGAATTTAGCACTTAGAACTGTCAAAACTGCCTGGCTAATGAGAAAACATCTTCTATTAGTTACCCAAGTAGCATGTATAAAATTCAGCTTTTACACTATAACGTAAGTACAGTTACAATTTATTAAAGTTTAAGGATGTCTGACAAGGGGTTGCTACGAAGTTAAGTGTCTGGAATGGATGAGGTGATTTCTAATATTATTCCGAAGAAAATTAAAGAAAATTACGCGTTTTTATTTGATAAATTTAACTTGATAATTTTTACCTCTTTGCTATGTGTTATTTCCCAAAGCCACGATGACTCAATCTTCATACTTGCCCATCATTCCTACCTGTGTTGGAAGTATGCGCTGACAAATTTTCAACTTTTATAAAATGACGAAGGTCTGGCGACCGCGGGCTCTTAGACCATAAGGTCCTCTTATGATTTTTTAGAAAAAAAATTTTTTTTTCACTTTTAACATTGATGTAAAGAAAAGAGAAAAAATTAAGTTTTTGCGTTGACTTAGTAAATCTACCGCGTATTTACTAATACTATGCACAGGCGAGAAAAGAATTATTTCTATCCAGACGGCGATAGAAATATATGTAGTCGTTGTTGATCTTGTAAACAATTTTAAAAAATACTTCTTATTCGATCCTCAAGTGGGCTTTCTCAGGTGAAAATAAAAACTACTGAGGTAATCCGAAAGTACAAGTTTAATAAAAAAAATACACGATTTAATATAATAGTTATTTATTGTAAGAGTGTGTTAGGTAGCGTTTTATCCACGCAAGAAGGTTTAACCGCGAGAACGTCAATTCGAGCGGTTAATTTTCTTAAGTGGATAAAACTCGACTAACACACGACTGCAATATAACGTTTTATCCAAGATCACAGTCCCAAATTATTCCAAACTTAATTAAAAATTAAACTGACATTTAAACGTCACGCCAAATGTGCTTTCGGTTAAACGTAGTAAGCTGTTACGCGGTGCGCTGGTTACTAACAGTGGAATAATGTTACTTTATTCCACTAGTGGATAAAGTGGTACTTGATATGCATATAAAGTGTGGAATAAAGTCTCTTTATAGAGTGATTGTGGATAAATAAAATTTTTCTAATAATAGTTTTAATTCAGTCTTTCCTTATGCATTGGTTTGAATTTGGTAAGGATGCTGTTGTTGTTGTTTTGATAACCATCTCCCATATCTGGAGGAAATTGATACTAAAAATTAATATTATAAAAACATGTACATTTTAATGAGTTTTATTCTACCTGTAACAAGAATTAATTTGATTTTCACTATATTGACCCATCTGATAGTCGATGAAATAAACGCTAAAAATGAGGCTAGTTCCACAGAAAAAATTACTAAATAAACGATTTCCATGATAAACCATATTTTACATAAATGTACCAATCCATAGTTCGAAACTTTAGTAAGCATATAAAGATTTGAAAAAAACTGGGCAATATGTAAACCAATAATTGACCACAGTATAATTTTCCCATCTATAAATAAATATTACAAAATTTATACTTCTCTACTATAAACATCTAATAAAATTGAATCTGCTTCGAACATTAAAAATTACAGTTAGGTGTTACAATTTTATGACGATTTTTGTAAAAAAAAAACTTACCAAAAGATGGCTCGTAATATAAATCAGTGGCAAAGCAAGCAATAATAATTGCTGTGATAATTATTCGTACACTGTAGAAAACTATCCAACTCTTTTTGAGACTGAAGGAATGGTAGTCAAGCGAAGAGGGTAAAACAGTTATTTTACCAGAATTATTATTAGAACTGATAAAAAAAGAAATCAACATTTGTAATAAATCATTATTATTATTAGGTACCTTTGTGATTCAACTACTTCTACCATTTCGAAACAGTTGTTCTTCCTAGAACCAAATCGATAGTAATTTTTAACAGAAGTGGAAGAATTGTGGTATTATGGTAATCTGATGGCTACAATTGCTAACAAGTCTTTTTTTGAAGTTAATGCATTTCAAAAATCTACCAAATTCACAAATTAACAGATTCACTTCACCTTCCCTCTTTGAAATTAACAAAAGTTTATAATGGAAATTTGCCGCTTGAAAATAAACATTTTTGAATAATCCCATTTCTGAGAGTTTCTGCTAGTTTCTACTAATTTTAAATAGAAATACGTACCTGTTGGAGTACAACACTTGTTTTAAATATTTGTTCTAGGAATGTGAATAAAGAGAACTTAGAACACTGAGAAGCAAGTTTTGGTTGCAAAATTCTTGTGAGAAATCTTTTTAAGAATAGTGGAGAGCTAATTAGTGGAACCCCGATAAAACTAAAACCCAATATCATTGTTTTGTGCTCAATAATCAAGGTCGAGAATGCATTGTTAATTGTAATATTCCAGAACCTAAAAATAAATTTTCAATTCGGGAAACCAATAGGTACATTAGAAATTTAGTCAATTTATTAGAGCAAATGGCCCTTTGTTTCAATTGTGAATAGTGTTCAAATAGTTATTTACATTACAGCGTATTAAGTTTTAATAAAACTAAACGCTGCAAAATACCTAACGCATAAATAATGTACAAACCTTTTTGGCCGAAGACCGTTAACATTTAAATTACATTTTTCAAAATTCTTTTTAGTGTTTGAGTTTTGCAAAAAAAAAATTTTTTAATGGCAACCTACTGTTACATTTTTTTT